CCTGTTCCTCAGTGCAGACAGAGCTAATAATTAGCTGTCACGACTTAATAATAAAAGGAGATAATCCATACCACGATGCACATGGATTTAACTAATCTTAATTTAGAGGGAAAATAACAACTCCAAATAGATCAAATGCAAGGTTTTTTAAGACAACCTGCCAGTGGAGTTTATCTCCATGTTCCAGCACAAGCAAGTTATTGAGTTTCTCTCACTGGCCAAGCTAATATTTTTTTTCACATTTATTTTGTTTCTAAGTCTGAAGCCAACATTCCCACACCAGCGTGAAAATCCGGAAGCTCCTCTGAAACGCTTCCCTGCAACACATCTTGCTCAGCAGTGGGTCACTGGGACCCCAAACCAAACCCCGACTGCAGCCCACCTGCACTGAGAACCCTGGGCTCCTCCCCGGCCCTTCCACAGACAGGCAGGGACATCTCAGCAGGTCCATCCCGTCACCTCCGAGCCTTGGGGCACATGCCCTCACTGCCTATCACTTGCTGCCTACCCCACTCTTCAGAAAACGGACCTCTGGAGTTGGAGCATCAAACCTATGAGTAGCAGCTGATAGCTACTCCGCGCTGCCTAGTACAGCTTCTTTTGGTCATAGAAGGAGTGAAAGCAGACCCAATCCAGAAAACAGTGACCAGGAGTGTCCAGTCCAGTGGCGTCCAAGTGGCAATTCAGGAGACATCTGGAAGGAGTTGGACAGATGTCCCAGATCAGCTTTCCAGGTCTTGAGAGAAGCAAGCACCCCAAATGCCACCAAGCGCAGTTCCTGCTTTCCTCAGCTTGGCTTTCTACAGGTTTCCACAGTATGGTCCTCCTCCGGCCTAACCCTGTGCTAGCTGGGTGCTTTCCATGCCTCAGCTCATTCAGCATCCTACACAACGCTAAAAAGTAGCAGCAGACCAGGAAACTGAGGCCAGAAGGGTGAAGTGACTGGCCAGAGTCGCCAGCAGGATAAGGGCACTGGGACCCCACCTAGGAGACACCGAGACCCCAAAGCCACCAACAAATGTGACAGTAATGTGACAAATGACAGAGGGCTGGACACGACCACAGCCTGATGCACTCTGACATATCTGAGGGTGGAATTCCAAGAACCCCCATAGGAGTTCTCCACAACACTAACAGGGAGTCCATTCTAAGGAGCCCCACATGGGCTCCTCCGGCCCTGGAAAGGGCACCAGAGCCTAAGACAGTAAGGGAGAAGCTCACGCACCCACCGTGTCATCATAAACCCCCAGTCATCGGTGGTGCAGATGAGGAGACCGAGCCTTAGAAGATCAAGTCACGTGACAAGGCTGCCGGGAAGTGTGGTGGGGTCAAGCTGTATTCTTCCCACACCGCTACCATGGACTACAAACCCAAACACTCGAAGTCCCTTCCTCCTGACCCTTCCTCAGACACCCTTGCAGGTAGGCGCTCAGTGGCTGGTGCCCTTTGCCAGACCTGCAGCCCCTCCACATCTCCCCGCCCAGGGCCGAGGAGCTCCTGTCTGCCCTCCAGCAGGGCCTGACTGAGGCCAGGACGGCCACAGGGAGGGATCTAAGCAACACACAAAAGTTCCCTGGGGCTGAGCAGCACTGCCCTGCCCAAGTCAGACCTCCAGGCCTGACGCACAGCCCCCAGCCAGCTCCACCCCTGTCCCAGGTACAGCTGCCCAGGAACTCAGCCCACAAAGAGAACAGAGCCGGCTGACAATGTACAAAACCAGGTCAAGGCTGCTACCCGCTTACCCTGAGCTCTGCTTCCCACAAGGACATCTTCTCCCTCCCCTGGGTGAAACTCATCTCCGGAGCCTGAGGGCCCAGGATGGAGGAAGGACCACAGATGCTCAGTTACTGAATGAATGAATGAATGAATGAATGAATGAATGAGTAAAAGAAATTACCTCCAACAGACAGAGCTTCAGAAACTTCTTCCTTCTACCTTCCTATTCCTCTACTTTATATAAAAAGAAAAAAGAAAAGAACAGTAGTCATTCCTTCTATGCCCACCTCCAGAATGACTGTCCCTAGGAAAGGGCCGATACAGGATCCACACAGCCTGGGAGGACAACTGACCACAAAGCCGTCTTCATCCTGGGGGCACACTGAAGGCGTGGACAGACCCCACACATTTGCAGCTCTTTGATCCATTTCCGGAGCCCCCTCTCCCCAGCACCCACCTTCTAGAAGCAACTGCTAGACAGGAGAAGTGAGGACTGTCTGGCCAAAGCGAGGACCACTGGCCCTAGCACAGGCGACCAAGCCGGGTAGCCAAAGCCAGTACCCCCAAAGGAATGGTCACTTGCCAGCCAGCTGCCAGTCAGGGCCAGTCAGGGGAAAGCAGCAGGGTCTGGAGGGTCTGAGGGACACCGTGGAGCCACGGTAGGAGGCAGGCACTGAGGGTCCCGGCAAAGCCAGCCGTGGCAGGGGCCTGGGCAACAGCTGTGCGGATTTCCGGAAGCCCGGGCGGAGAAGCATCCAAGACTCCTCGTCCCCTCTTAAAATATAAAGACTCAATTATCTTTGAGCAGCTTGCTTTACACATGAATTGACACATTTATTTTACAATAAATAACCAAAAGTTATCTGTGTTTCCTTTACTGTTAATCTACACAGAGAAATAATAAACAGGGCTTGTCTACAAAACTGCAAGGGCTGCAGTCCTCAGAATTCAATTAAGCTAAAATAATTAATGCTCCCACCATATTAAATTACTTTATACATTTGAGCCACTGAAGTTTTATTCTTTAATCTTTCCTTTTTTTATTAATTTTTTTTAAAAGGCAAGAAAAGAAAAGTTGGGACCAAAGTAGGGAGGGAAACAGGAAAAATGGGGACTAGAAAGGAATCGCGCGATGGTTTGTTAAAACGGAATGGCTGGCTGTAGCTGACACAGCATGTAGACTGTTTTGTGCCTTTGATTAAAATAACATTTTAAATGCTTTGAACAAACATATCTCTTTAGACTTCTAAGGGATTATTTTACATATTTCTTCGAGAAGGAAGAAATCCATTCGTCCTGTTGCTGAACAGAAAGGCCAAGAATATCTTTCATTACACATAAAATAAAAATACTGTAGGCTGCTGCAATATTACTACCCAAAAAAGAAAGAAGGAAAAAAAAAAAAAAACAAGAGGCAGGAGGGGCCAAAGGATGAGGACAAAAATGCCCAGGGGATTAACTTTGCCTTTTATGAAATCACATTTAGCCGTTGTCTTGAGCAAACCTCCTCGCGGTGATCCACAGCCCTGCGTTGGGAAACACCTACAGTGTGCAAAGAGGGTGCGAGGCTTGGGGCAAAAGCTGCAAGTTGTGCAATGAAACAGAGAGGACATGAGTGTCCTTGGCAGCGGCTACACTGAGAGGGGCCTGCACACCGACCCTGGGGTCCCCGTCCCTGGGCTATACGATATCTCTCCGAGTCAGAAAACAGAGAAGGGACCCAGCACCTTTCTCGCCTGCTGGCTCAGCTCTGCTGAAGGAGACGTCGCATGGATCAGCACAGCTCAAGGAGAACCCAATGGGGCCGCCCCACTGCCCAGAGTGTGCCTGTAGGAATCTGCAGTCCACCCCATTAACCCATGTGCAGGTGGGCAAAGTGAGGCCTGGAGCCACAGTGTGGTGGAGATGGGGGTGCTGCGTGACCCTCACTGCCTCAGAGGTGACAGGTGGTCCCCACTCATGCCCATCTGTCTCCCCTGGTGGGAGCATCCCGTGCCCACAAAAGGTTCCACGGTCAGCACCCACGGGGATCTAGCCACACATTTTCCCAGCCAGCTACCCACTTGTGTGCTGCAGGGACAAAGGGGACCCTGGAGAGAAAAGTTCCACTGGCAAAGCATTTATGGAATCCCTCCTGGGATTCTCATTCCTTGTTGACAAATGGGGAAACTGAGGCTCAGGCTCATAGAGTGCCTAACCCAAAGTCAATCCTCCCCAGCAGGATTGAAACCCTCATCTGCATGAGCTCTGATGCCTGCCTTGCTCCAGGGTAGGCTGCCACTTTTAGGGAGCACTGGGAGGCCAGGGCCCCCTGGTTACCCAGGCCTTCTGGGGCCAGAAGTATACACCAGAAGCAAGCACTCAGGTTTGCCTGCAGAGCAGAGGCTCCTGGGGGTGGCAGGGAAGGCGGGACTGGGTGCAAAGTCCTACAATGAGCACACCCTGCCGGGGGACGCAGCTGTGCCTGAAGGGGAGGCCCGCACCTGTTCTACAGGTGGTAAGACCAGCTGTCCAGGCCAGTCGAGTGGGCATCCCCAAGGGCACAGTGCTCCAGCTTCCCACGACCCTCCCAGACCTCCCCTTAAGTCATGCAACACGAGAAGCAACCCCCCCCTCTTGACACAGATGGGAAACTGAGTGCAGAGACAGCGGGGATGAGAGCTTCCACTCCTAAGTGATTCCCAGCTGCCGCCACGGGCAGCCTCTCCTTAACCCCCACAGCAGCCCTCTCAAAGCTGGTTTCCTTAGCTCCACTTTGTATACGGGGAAACTGACGCATCTTGACTGTAAAGAACAGCTTTGCCAGTGGAACTTTTCTCTCCTTAACCCCCACAGCAGCCCTCTCAAAGCTGGTTTCCTTAGCTCCACTTTGTATACGGGGAAACTGACGCATCTTGACTGTAAAGAACAGATTCCAACCCAAGCCTGGCTCCAAATGCCAGGACTGTGCAAGCAGATCCAACCAAGATCACCAACAAAGAAAAGGACAAGCAGACTTCCAAATTTCCACCTATGCCCCCGATCATCTCTGGAGCAGGCCCCAAGATAGAATCCCCTCAGCCAAAGCGAAGTACCCAGGGTAGCCCAGATGGGCCTCTCCAAGCCCAGGCCTGTCTCCAGAGGGTCACCTAAATGGTGGGCCCTCAGAAAAGGGGAGCCCCTTCAGTGGCCCAAAGGCCATCTCAGAAACTCCCAGACCTCCCCCAGCACCGAAACTCTCAGACCAAGAGCGCAGGACCCGGGAGGTGACCTCAGCAGCAGCCAGGTGAGCGCAACGTTCATACCTGCAATGTTCTCCTGCTTGGGGCAGATGCCTTTCGTGGGTGAGAGCAGGTGGTCATCTTCGTCAGGGGTGACCTGGATCCCGATCTCTACCGGCTCGGATACTTTCCTGAGCTCGGAGCGCGAGGAGGGGGGCGGGCTGCCCTTGTCCAGGCCTTTGTCGTAGCAGGTACCCAGGCTACCGCCACATTGCTTCTTCTTGTGCTCTATAAAAACCAGGATGTCCCCCAGGGGGAAGTTCATCTGACACTGGCCACAGGTGAGCAGGTCAGGGTCGGGGCCACCCACCATCAGCCCCAGGCCGCTGGGCTCCTCTATCTCCAGACCCTCATCTTCCTCGAGGATGGCAGCCTCCACATGGTCAGCCTCTGCTGAAGACAGAAAGGAGACAGGGGAGGGGCAGAGAAGACAGATGGGCTTAGGCGGTCACAAGCACCCAGTGCGCCTTCCACCCCTTCCTTCCCCACCAAGAAGCAGGTGCCCTCCGCTGCCGGCTGCTTGGCCTCACCAGGTCCGCCCAGGACCGGCCCACGACAGACGGGCAAATTGAGGCTCTGGGAGAACAGCCTGGCTGCCAAGAGTTAGCACGTAAGTAGAGCTGACCTTAGTGCTTCCAACGTCCTTGCTATCAATATCCCCCTACACAGCCTAAGAATACATGGACACGGCCACACGCACACCACATGCATCCTGGCTGCTTGCAGTATCAGCTACTTTTGAAGGATCTGAGCAGCACCTGGGAGTTTGAAAAGTCCCAACACCCGGGTAGCAGCACCCCAGATCAACTGCATTGGGAACCAAACATGAACGCTTCCCAAGACACCCTCACTGGTTCCAGTGGGAGCCCAGGCTGAGAAGCAGTGAGCTAGAGCGCGTCACCCTGCTGGGGCAGGAGCTGCCACCTCCCTTCCCCCAGGCCTTCATTCATGTTGTGTCCTCCCCATTCACGTCCATCCCCCTCACATTCCTCTACCTGAGCCCTGGCCGTGCACCAGACTAGAAAACAGAAACCCAGACGGGTGCGTCAGAGGGCCAGTCCTTCGGGGAGAAAAAAAAAATCCCACATGCTCAGAAAGCAACAAGTGAGTGTCAGGTTCCAAAAAATATGGAAAGGAAAAACAAAGCCACAGACGGGACTCTGAAAGTGGGCTCGCTTGCAGAGGGGAGCTGGCATGGTTGCCAAGCGCTCTGCTGCTGGCCATGCTGCCACTGCTTTGTAAATTTCCCCACACTCCTCAGCTCCCCACTGCCCCTCTTCCTGGGTTGGCTTTATTTTCAGCCCCCCTTCCCCAAAAAAAGAATAGGAAAAAAAAAATCTTCAGATTCCAAAAGCTTTTCTAGGCATGTATGAAAGCACACTTTTAGTAGGCTATATGCCTTTATATCTCCTTAGCAGTCAGTGTATTTCCTCTTGTAGTTGTTGAGTTCTGTCTGCTGGGGGTGGGGGTCTGTTTTATTTTGTTTTGTGGAGGGCATAGGACTCCAATATTTGGAAGCTAATAAATGCCTCAAAAATCAACCACCCCCTGAGGGGAAAATTGGAAAACTCAGCCTCCGAAAGTGTCATCCGTAAGGGAGGTGGACAATATGGAAGCTTCATAGCCCACTCGGGATCCGAGCACACTCGGCTTGGAATTTTTCAAGAGCAAATGTCAGTAGTGGCGTAGAAAACACAAGTGTTGGGGTCTTCAGAGGAGCCAGGGGCAACCAAAGGTCTGGGCCTGAGGAGACAGGTAACTCTTAAGCTGTGTGATATTTAGGAAAGGATAGTGCAAACCACAGAGGAACGAGGACAAGGGACAGAAAGGAGGAAAATACATTCCGTGGCAGTGAAGTTATTGACGTGCCAGAGCCAAAGAACAGATAATTTAAGGAAAAAATTCTGTGGCATCTTCCATCCTCCATATAAATCACTGCTCTGTATTTTGTGAACACAGGCTTGCTCCGGGCCTAGGAGAGCCCGTGTGAAAAACTGACTGCAGAGCCTGCGACTGGTGACGTAGACGGAGCGCGGATGGACTGCGCGTGGATAGGTAGGGCGCAGGTACAGCCGAGAAGGGAAACTACCATTGGAGATCCTGCCCGTGGTTACGGAAAAGCAGACAGGGTCCCCACAGAATCAAACGTGGAAATGCACCAGCAACGTGACAGGACGAAAACACCCCGCAGATGAGGAAAATCCTGAATGTACTGTGTGCAGATCTCAAACAAAAAGATCCAACAAGGTAAAGAAACAGTCCTCACAAAGCCGGTCCCAGAAACCATTAATTACACTTGAAAAAGAAATCGGAGTTCACTTAAAAAGGAGTTCGAAGACAATGCTACATAATTAATTTACCAATTTATTTTATGAAAAGATGCTTTGCCTTGGTTAGAATGTAATCACAACCTTCACGCTGAACAGCGGTTCGAGGGAGAGACTGGATTCCTGTGAACGGTTTGTCAGAACGTAAAAGGTAATTATTCGGTGCCTCCTTTCCCTTTAACGATCTAACATTGAGCAATACTGTTTATATTGAAAAGCTCGCACCTTTAATTACCAATTACATATACATAATTTCAGAGCCAAAGGAAAGGACTATGCAAACAGTTCTTTAGAAATATAAGGATGTATTGTGCGCCATTTCTAGAGAAGGAGCACTAATAAATGGGAGGAGGATGTCAAAATATTGTTTTGTTAAAAAAAAAAAAAGCAACACAAAGAAAGTGAGCTGAAAAGCAAAAAAAAAAAAAGGAAGGACAAAATGAAATTAAGAATTCAAATGAACCGGGGTGAGGTGTAGTACCTGGGACGGTTTTAAATACCACCCCTGAGCAGGCCTGCCAACCCGCCTGGTCCACATCACAGAGACTCAGAACAACAAGGAATCCACATTCCTGACCGGATCACCCTTTCCGAGGGCGAGGGGGTCCTTTCCATCTGTTAACTGAATCTTCGAAGGACTTTTTTATTGTTTGTTATTAACTTTTTCGGCTACCTCTGTGCTCCTGGGTGAGAGTTCTAACAAGCATGAAGAGCTAGCTCCTTGCTCTGCTAGGAGCTGGAAGCTACGAAATTTGAAATGCATTTTCTAATTCAGAAGAAACACAGACTAATTTAAAAATTAGCAAAGGCCACCTCGGCCTTGTCCCAAGCACCCTTCCCTGTCTTCAGTCACTGTGTTGCCAAGACTGTACCAGCACTTCCTTGTTGCTTTTTTTTCTTTTGGTAACATCTGGTATTCTTTCCTTTCTCTGGCAGCCTTGCCTTCTCACTTTCCTTGTGCAGCAGGTCCTGAGAACCCTGGTAACTGAGTTCGACCGTCCCCAGAGCTGTTTACTGTACTACAATTGTGATTTCACCATCAAGTCCCCTCACGGCCACCCAGCCTACCAGGGTCCTGTGGACAGCCTGGGACTGTGCAGGGCTGCAGGCTCAGCTCTGAACTCCGGCCTCCATGTCCCCAGACCACGCTCCAAATCAGGGCTTCTAGGGGAATTGGAAGGAAAAGGAACCAGACCCTGCTAAGAAAAGCTTCCTTCCCCTCCCACTTTCAGCACTGAAAGTAAAACTCCCTAAGATGACAGTGTGTTCACCCCGTCAATTCCTGAGAACGGGTTTCCCCTCCACCCCACCCGGGGTTGTAGGGCTCTGAGCTTCGACCTGCTTCGCGTCACATTCCTGAGGAAGGTAGCAAGGTCGCCCCTGCATTCAGGTAGCAGGCAACCCCAAAACCACCCAACTTTTGGGTCACAGCAGATGGACCGGCACTGGGCCTACAAACTCAGGCTGGAGGCCTCCAGAGACGCCCCAAACGCTGTGGTTTCATTTCCGCTGGCAGGCGGATACCAGGCTGGGCGTGTAGGGTGCTTGTGTGTGTGTGTGTGTGTGTGTGTGTGTGTGTGTGTGTGTGTGTGTGTCCCTTCCTAGAACTGTATCAATAATAAAAGAGGAGACAGCGCCACATGGCCAAGCCCTGAAAGGAGCAAGGAGGGAAGGTGCTTGGACCTCCCAGAACCTCCTCTTCTGCCCACAGACCCCTGAGTCTGGGCACCTCAGAGGTCCAGGCCTCTGCTGGGACAGGCAGAGGGTCAGCCCTGCCCCCCAGAGAAGAGAGAGTGCCAGGAAAGAGACAAATCCCCAGCACCTCCTGCAGCCTCATCCAGCAAAGCCAAGCTTTCAAAACTAAGGCAAAGATGGGGTCGTCCTCTGAGATGCTATGTGCTTTCATGAACAGCGCCCCGAGTATCAAGCAGCCTTGCAAAACATTCCTGTTCTCCATATATTATGAGTCCGAAAAAGTAGAGCAGTGGCTAAAACGTTGACTCATTAAGAGGAAAAATGAATGGATGCAGCAGGCTCAAATGTCAGATATCAGACGGCTAGGGATAGCTCTGAACTGTTAAACCCTAAAGTGCATGAACAAATATATATTTACACATACACACACGCATGCACACGAGTTAGATTTCTCTTTTACAACAAAACCACATTTTATTTACAAGGCTGGGCCTCCTCCCAGCTGGTAAACGCATTTAGAAGCAATGAAATCAGGCTTCACAGATAATATGGGCATCGTGGTTAAGTGGAGGGGGAAATACTTGATCCTAAGACAAACTTCCCCGTGTCTCAGTTCTGCTGTGAAGGAATTTGGGGCAGAAGACAGAAATGGAAAGACAAGCAAATGCTGGTAGCCAGTGAGCCCCCCAGCTGCTTCCAGGGCTCAGCAAGGCCTTACCTGGCCAGCAAGTCCCCCACACGCAGCTCCAAGCACCCTGCCCACCCTGGTCCGTCTCTACAAATGGCCCTGCACCTGCCCTTCTGGGCATTTCGGCCAAGAGGTCAGCCGCTTGCTGTCCCCAGAGCCAGGGCATGTACCTTGCTACAAACACAGCACATGGGATCCTGCTCCTTTCCCTGCATCAACTCGAGTCCAAATGTCTGTCTGTAATGGTAAACCCATCACCCAGGAGAAATAGATGCCGAATTATTGTTTCCATGATGGGGGAGGTGGGGAGGGGGAAAGGTGCGGGGAGGAGTGCCAGGCTCTTAAAATCCTGTCCCACCAACGTCACAGCCGCTATCACGATGTGTACGCGTGTTTACAAGAACTGTTCCGCATCCATCCGCCCAGCTCTGCATCCGACTGGAGACTTTACACCTGCTTCCTACGAAGACAGAGCTTCTGCTAGCGAGCCCGTGCTTACCAATAATCTGCAGAGGAATCTTTTCATTCTCCTCCCCAAGAGCGTGAGCGTTCGGGGAGGGGCTGAGACTCCGGGCGACACTGAACCGGCACCAACACGCGCACTCGCCGGAGCACAACATTTTCTGAGCTGCCATCAATTTTTAATTTATTGGATCCAAGGGAAAATAACAACCATGGGGAGGGGGAGGGAGGGGGGCTGGGAGAGAGCAGGAATCAATTCTTGGAGGAGAAAATAATCTACGGCTAGATGACGCTTAAAGGTACGACAAGAGATTTTATGAAGTGCTCCCCACTGAGGAAATAATGAAGTGCCCGGCAGAGGAGGAGAGGAAGACAAGGGCGAGGCCTGTGCTAGGAGGAAGGTCTACACTGGGCCAGGAAGGGTTAGGAGGCCGGGGGGCCTGGGAGGAACAGCCAGGCAGGGCACAAAGCAGAAGGCAGCACGCAGATGAGCCTCCTCTACCCTGGCCACTGCCCACTCTGCCAGGCTGAGGAGTCCAGCCTGCTCCAGGTGTCACAGCCCTGCACCTCCCCGAGCCCTTCCAAAGGCCACCTCCACGGAGGGACGAGTGCGCCTCAAGGCCAGCACCACATTGTGTGCTCCAAGCCAACCACAGACACACGCCTCCGAACAAAACCGCCACCATTTCCAACATCTGGGGCGAAGACAGAGAAAGCAGCCGGTACGAAACACAATATCCAGTGTGGGTCTCTCCTCCCAGGAAAGTCACCAGGACTC